TGGGAAGCCAGAGGAGCACAGGGGCTTGTCTTGTGCGAAACAAAGCCCGAGAAACTGATCTATGCAAAGAGCATGCAACTTCCATCCACAGACTTGGAACATGTATTGGGCTGCTCAGAGGCCCTCTGGGTCCCTTCCAAGTTCCTGGTGGAGTTTTGAGTGACCGAGGTTGCTGAGTCAATCAAAGAGCATCCCCGGAACACCATCCATATGGCGGAAATTGTGCAGGGCCCGAGAGTGTGGAGATAAATAATTGAGACACAGTCCTTGCCCTTAGGAGGTGGGATGCTATCAGCCTGTGACTTCTTAATGACCGACGTCACACTCCCAGCACATGACATGCACATTGGCTCTCACAGACACCATGTGGTAACATACCCATTTCTCAGATTCACACCTGGAAACCACAGAGCGCTCTGCCTAGTATATTGTTCAAATTCACTTTTTGCATTAAAACCCATGCCTGTGGTAGACATCTAAAAGGTAGAAGTGACTTACAGTGAGAAGCAAGTGTCCTTCTCACCCCTCCTCTGGTCCGCCAGTCCCTTCCTCATTTAAAAATTATATTTCACATAAAAATCAGGATTCCCAGATTTTACTTAAAAGGAGTTGCTGAAAGATCTGGCAACAGCAGGCTCAGGGCAACCATCCCGAGCACTGAACTGCTGCTGCCCCTGTAGCAGGGCCATGTGTCCCCAGGGCCTTTGCACTGCCTCCACCACTGTCACCTTGCCTGTAGCCTTTCCCACCATCCCTGCTGGGCTCTGGGAGGCAGACAAGCCTGAAACCCACGAGCCATACTGTGTGTGGCTCAAGCCCTAGTTCTCAGAGACAAGAGTTCGTTACAGCATGCCCGATGTGAACTGGGCTCAGGTGCCATGGTGCCCATCAAGCCATCTGACATACATTATGGGGCACTCTCCGCTTCTCCATAGCGCCTGACACGTGGTGTTGAGTCTGTTAATTGTCTGGTTGCCCCCCTAGAATGCAAGCTCCACGAGGGCAGGACTCTGTTAGGTCCACTGCTGTGTGCCCATTACCCCACATGGTTTATACCACACAGAAGGCCCTTGATAAACATTGTTGAATGAACAACTGTCAGGCACTCATATGAAGACAAGACAGTGTCACTGTCCCCAAGCTACTCTCAGGCTAGGGAGCAGAACCAAGTCTGTTGGGCACGGCTGGTAGGACAGGTGGCACAGGAAACAGAGAGTATGTTGACACTCAGAACACTGGCAAAGGAGCCAGCAGTCCCACAGGAGGGGACCCAGACTCAGACACAGTAGTGAGGACATTGTGCTCTGCCACACTCACATGGTGGGCACCTCTGCCACCCGCGCTTGGGGATCTCTCTCAGGCCCCATCTTGGAGAACCTGGCTGCAACGTCCGACTGCTGCTTTAGGGCCACTGACCAAATAAATAGCACGTCAGAGCTCAGCTCACAGGCCCTGCCGTCTCCCTGTCCCCCCAGTCACAGCCAGAATGTGACATCACAGGAAAGAAACACACCAGCCTCTGCCAGCAGTCAGGAAGATTCCAGCACCTGGCATAGGCACAGGGGAAGTGGCCAAGGGGCGAATCCCAGCCACCTGGGAGAAGCCCCATGGTCACTGTACTGTGGCCTCTCGCTCTACACTGCCCACAGCATTCATTCATTGTTTCATTTGTTCAATAATTATTGAGCCTTACTATGTGATGGACACTGTCCTACAGACACAAGGTAGGAAAACTTGTCTTCAATTGAAGATCAAATCAATGAATAGATGGATAGATTCATTCATTCATTGAATATTTACTGAGCCCTTTCTATAGCTCAGACACTGTTCTATGCCCTGGGGATATGGCAATACCTTAAAATAGACAAAGATAATTGCTCTCATAAAGGTTGTACTCTAGTGGGTATATAGTGACAATGGAGGGTTCAGACAGCTCAGTAATTAAATTGAATATTAGATGGTGAATGTGCTGTAAGAATGAGACTGGGAAGGAGAATGTGGGGTTCCACAATTGGGGTGTGGTTTTTAAAAGGGCAATCAAGGAGGTCTCACTGAAGAGGTGACATCTGAGTAGAAAGCTGCAGGAGGAAGAGAGCAAGCCAGGTGCTAGCTGCAGGAAACATGTCCCAGGCGAAAGGAGTAGCCAGCCAAGCACTAAGGTGGGAGGTGCCTGAGGTCTTCAAGGGACGGTGCAGCTGGGGGCAACAGCGAGGGGGCGGTAGGGGGGTTTTGACAGATGATTCTCCAAGGGTTTCCGCACATCTTGTGAGCTTTGTTTCAGATCATCTCTTCAAGAAAGTTTGTGACATGAAAAGCTTTGGAAAGAGAGAGACAGTGTCTCCCCCCAGGGCAAAAAGCAGCTTTATTTGCCATTCAGTGTAACGGAGACAAAGATTTGCTGGCAGCCCATTGTGAAAACTGGGTTTCCTAAGCTCAGGGTTCTTTGGTTGTCACACAGCATCCACTGGCTCCACCTCCGTGCTGTCCCTGTGGGGCTTGGCAAGCAAGGGAACCAAAAAACATGACACTCGAGCTTCTGGTTCTGCCGTGAGTAATAAAGTCCTTTGTCTCTGACCCTGGAGTTTTGTGTTTTCTGCCAATGTCTTTAAAACTGTGGCAAGCTAACTTGTTAGTTACAAGTAAGGTAAAAATCTTAGACCCTTCATTGTTCTTGACAGAGGGATGGGACCAGAGACCAAGAGAATGAGTGAATGAATGAGTGAAGGAATGAACTGAGATTTAGAGGGCACATCTCCTTAAATACAGACCATTCACAATGAACAGTCCTCGGGGCAGGTGCAAACACACAGCTGGTCCGTGCCTTAGGGTAAAGTAGGCCCCAGGACTGTCCACAGAACCACAGAGGCGGGGCTGTGGGACGCAGCAGTGAGAAGCCGACCGCAGTGCATTCGCAGCTGTCTCTGTCCACAGTGCATGCAAGGGAACATGGGAAGGCTTCCAGCTAGACTAGAGGAAGGACTGAAGCAGCCGGGTTCAGGGGAAGGTGTGAAGAGGCCTGGCTTGGGGTCAGTGCTTCACAAGGACGGTCCCAGGTTCTGACGGTCCCCCGCATACCCCAGCGCCCCAAACCCTCATTGCTAGCTCCTAGGGCAGGCTGTTCAGACAGAGGAACCACCACCCAGGCCTCCCTGTGGCCACCCCTTCTGGATTAAAATCTGGGAAAAAAGACATGCATTTCCCAGGACTGCCCCTGGGCCTCCCCATGTCCTCTGCCCACCACTCTTGGCACAGAGAGAAGCGACCTCCTGAGCCTGCCACTTCCCTGCTGCCCATGTCAGTCCACTTTCCTCTCCTCCCACCGCTGCTGCTCCACACCCGCAGGGGTTCAGGGCAGAGGCTATTTCCAGAACTCTGCCCTTTGCCCCTGTGGAGACAGGCATGCTCGCCAGACAACACACCCTGCTCTCTGGTTTAGAGAGTGTGATTAGTTGACTCGCAGCAGGGGAGAAGGAAGCAGAAATGCAGATCTTGGAGCTGTGAGAGGGTTTCATTGCCCCTCACCACTCACCCCAAGAAGCCAGCTTGGGCTTTCAGATCCTGAGGGGGCAGGGAGGGGACTGCCCTGCTCCTTGTGGCTGTCCCCTGTGGATGGGGCAGCCCATTTCCTGCTCCGTGTCTGCCAATAGCTGGGAAGGAAACACCTGGATGTTGGAAAGGCAGTCTGGGGGTGAGGGGAGAGCATTGTTCCCAAGGGTAGGGAGCCTTGCACGCAGACCGGGAAGCCTCGGGGATGGGACGAGACGGTGATGATGGCAGCCTGGCATTCCCGTTCACCGTGTCAGTCCAGGACACACACCTCTAGGAGATAACGGGGGTGCGTGCAGGCTGTGTGGCAAGTGCCCTGGCAGGTAGCATTGGTGCTGGGCTGCCTCCATTCGACCCTCTTTGTTGCTATGGCCGCTTGGCCTAGTTGTTTAAAACCTTTGTGCCTCAGTTTCCCTAACTTTAAAGGAGACCTAGTAACACCTACTTATATTCAAAAACCACTTAGAGCCAAATAAAGAAACCAATGGGCTCAAGCATATAAGCCTTCCATAAATTCTACACCTTAGTGGCCAAATCAAATCTCTAGCTGTTCTTTCCTTGAATACCAACTTTCATGCCCACTTTCCTGCTCCATGGGTTTGCACACTTTGCCTCGCGTTTGCACCCAAACCGTCTGCCTCCCTCAAGAGTCAGGTGCACTTTCTGCCGAGCCCTTGTTGATCCCACCCCCAGCATCTCTTCCTGCCTTCGCACCCCACCCCCCAGGGCTCTGGCGCATTTGACTTTCTCTGTTAGTCATTCGGAGCTGTGTCTCAATCCCCCACACCAGCCACTCAGCTTCTCCAGTAAGGAGACCCGACCTTGGTTGGACTCTGGCATTGGCTGCACATGGAGAAGATGCTCGATCCATGAGTGTGAAGAGAAAGGCCACACTGGCCTCACTGGCTCCAAATTCCCCAGAAGAGGGAAGGGCACAAAGGGTCCCAGAAGGGGTACAGAGGGGGACCCAGAAGGTCCATTCTGAGTTGCTTACCTATTCTGTAATCTTTGGCAAGTTGCTTCATCTCTCTAAGCCTTAGTCTCCTGACCTATAAAATGGGCATTAAAACACATGTCCAGTCTACCTCCAATTGCTCATGAAAATTCAGTGGGATGCTGAGTGTGCTCTACAGCACAGAGCATGTAGAATTAGTCTTAAATTATTATTGGCATTTGCAAGATTTGGAGAAGAAAGCAGAGGTCTTCTCACAGGGTCCTGTGTCCTTTCTTCTTGGGAAAATGAGCTGAACAATCTTAATTTGGTTGCATGGTCCTAGTAGCCACCAGATCTGAGTAACCCTCTCACAAAGGCTGGGCCTGGTGTTCACTACAGCAGGGGTGTCTCAGCCCTTCACAGAATCCCCTTCCAGCATCCCTCCTCCAGGCACCCCTGCTCTGCTCCGCTCTGCCTCTTCTGCTCCCTCCTTGGAGACCCCACCCCAGCCAGCACCTACCTCGGCTCAGCTGCTGCAGCTCAGCTCCCCAAATTCTTTCAGCTGATTGACTTTCCACAGTCCGGCCCAGGGAGGCAGCCAGCCCCAGGGAACCTGATGTCTTAGAGGAGCCCAGACTGGTGTTTTCAGTCTCAGCTGCAGTCTACAGATCTGTAGAGAAAAGCCCAGTGTTGAAGAGGCCGGGCTCTGTCCCCTCCCCTTCCTTCCCCTTCCCCACAGGCCTCAAAGCTCCTCCCAGAACGCATCCTGCTGCGAGGTTGCTCTGTGGTCAGCCCTGGTCGCCAGAGCTTCTTTATTCCGACTGGGCGGGAAGTAGGCACCTCGATAGGGTCCCCCTGCTGCCCACTGGGCAGTGATGCAGGGAGCCCTGACCTCTCCCCCGGGCTCCAAACACACCAAGCAGCCCCGCCTTGGGCACTGTCACCCAGAGGGCCCTCAGGCACGTCCACCTTGGGGTGTACCACCTAGCTCATCACTTCCCCTCTAACCCACATTTCTGCTCCTTGCCTCAGAATCAGAAACCTGAGTGTCACCCTTAACACCTCTGGCTTCCTCACCTCTTACATCTAAATAACACCAGGTCCTGTCAACACCTCATGAATGGGCCCCCT